ACGCATCCACCTCCCCAATCGCTGGTGGTGTTTTCCAACAAACCGTTGATAACAAGATGCATGTTCTTCAATTCGCATCCAAGAAGTTAACCGTAGCTGAGTCCAAATGGCCAATCTACGAACTCGAGGCCTACGCCATTGTCTGGTCCACCCCCCACTCCGCTCGTTACCTGCGCGGCAGAGAGTTCATCGTCAGGACAGACCATCAGAGTCTCAAGTGGCTTTGGAGTACGGAGAAGTCGAGAATCGCTAGATGAACTATGTTCCTGCAAGAATTTCAATTCAAGATCGTTTACAGAGCTGGAAAGACTCAACAGCACGTGGACATCTTCACTCGATATATCGAGTTCAGCCCACCGGACGAGCAAATTCACGCAAGATAGGCTTTGGTTTGTCACACGGACGTGCAGCCGTCCATGCTGACTCTCAATGAAACCTTCCCTACACCAGAGGATCTAGCAGATGCCTTCGAACAGGAATCCGAGCCAACGTTCTCGTGCACACTTCAAAATGGCTTGCCCGTCGTGAATAATCATGTCTACGTTCCCGAGGTACTGCGACGGCGAATCATATTCTACTTCCACTTCTCGCGCGTCGGAGCTCACCAAGGCATCCAACATTCCTACCACCGACTTTCAAAGTACTTCTGCTGGCCAAACATGTTCAATGACGTTCGGCAGTTCGCCAAGCAATGTCTCACTTGCGTCCGCAGACGTCACACTGCAATCGACTTTGTTCGAGGAAACCTACTATCAACAGGGATGTTCGAAGTCGTTGCGTGCGACACTGTGGGCCCTATCTGGTTCCGAGAGAAGCAACGTTACATTTTCACCTGTGCGACCATTTCAGCAAATTCGCCATTGCCATTCCGCTCTCAACGGTTCGAGCCATCGACCTGTGGGAGGCATTCTACTGCAATTGGGTTTCGGTCCTCGGCACTCCCAGGAACCTACTGAGCGACAACGCGTTGAGCGCAGAGGAATTCCGAGAGCGGTTCCAGGATCGAGTCCGTAACAATGCTGTGGTCGTGCGGGATAACGCCGATAATTGCTGGAGGTACCCGCTGTTCCGTGGTAAGGCCCAGGACAAGTTCTTGGACTGGCAAACTTCAGTTGTTGATGACATAAACTACACCCGAATCACGTCCACGACCGGAATCCGCTCAGTGCCCTGGCATGCACGCTCATCGTGGCC